AGCATCCGTGTTATCAAATGGAAAAGTCTTAGTTGCTGGTGGATACCAAAGTGGTGGTGGTTATTTGAATAGTGCTGAGTTGTATGATCCATCAACAGGAGTGTGGGCAAGTACTGGAAATATGAGTTATGCTCGAGATTATCACACAGCATCCGTGTTAACAAATGGAAAAGTCTTAGTTGCTGGTGGATACCAAAGTGGTAGTGTTTATTTGAATAGTGCTGAGTTGTATGATCCGTCAACAGGAATGTGGACAATCACTGGAAACATGAGTTATACTCGATATTATCACACAGCATCCGTGTTAACAAATGGAAAAGTCTTAGTTGCTGGTGGATTCGGAAGTAACAGTTCAGAGCTGTACCAATTATGATAAACAAATGAATTACAAACATATTTTCTTGTCTTCAATGAATAATCTTGTTTACAAGAGCTATTTAACAATATTATCGTTTTAGTCTACTAATGATTGAATTTTTCTTTTCTCATCTTTACAAACTGGTTGTATCTTTAATAAATTTGTCTCATAATAGTGAAATATTTTATTCTCTTTAAGATTCAGGAACGATTTATTGTTATAGAATGTGCAGTGGTGGCCCGATCCTTGAGACTTTGGGGGACGGAAGGGAGATGAGGAGTAGCAGAGGCGCAAAAAAATTTTGTGATCTAAGTAATACGTGTTGACAATAGAGATAAGTTTCTAAATGTTTGCGCTATCTATTTTTCCATGCATAGAATACAGCTCAATTAATGTTATCAAACGAAGAAGATATATTAAAAAAGATGAGAGACTGACACTCTGATATACGATGGAAGAGTATGAGTGGCAGTATGGATCATCTGTCTACCTACACTCCCTGACCCACTCACCCTGCACAATGTCTGGATCTCGAAATCGGATATAACCTTTCGCTTCTTGGAAAATGCGGGATTTTCGAGCAGAAATTAGTCGCTTTGTGTAGGATTTGTTGCTAAGCATGGCCATAATGATGTTTCCTTCGTTCTTCAAAACGAACCTGATATAAAGAATGAGTCCGAGTATCCTTTTATTGCATTAACAGTGAGGACATACATGCTGTCAAACTATTTTAACATTGTTGCGAGTTTTTGAGACTAACTTTGAGATATCGGTCAAAAATGATAACTTCTGCATTGTCAATAGAAAATTACCTAGAGAGAATAATCAAGGAAACATTCAATTAAGCATTAGATTTTTAAATGTAGGGTGTGGGTGTGGGGTGTGGCTGTGGGTGTGAGGATGGGTGTGGATGTGATGTTGTTGTCCACACCCACACCCCACCCTTAGTAGATTGATTTATATTTATTAACGATATAGATTGATCTGTTTTCATTTGATTTATTCACCAGCATCCACACCCACACCCATACCCCATACCTACCCTAGGATAGGACCTAAAAACAAGGTCCGATAGGACCCGAAAATCATCTCTGAGAGGATCTCGAATAAGATCTAGAAACGGACCAGGATAGGATCTAAAATCGGCTTTTATGTTGCTTGAAAATCCAGCTCTGATAGAGCCTAAATATTCAGTTACAAGTCAAAAAATCCGAAAATATAGAAGTAATCGAAAATCTGTCGTCTTCTTGAAGATTTTTCTTCTTTGAATGAATAACCTCTTTTCCGATTTTGGATTGATCGAAAAAGTAGTTTACAAAATCACAATTAACATCCGACACATAACAGTATCAAAAACGTGTTTCAGATAGACAGGCATTATCGTTTTAATTCACCATTCCAGATCCTAGTCTTTCAGCCTAGGGGAAAATTCAACAATCATCTCACACCTTTTTTAATATTAAATAGGTTTCACAAAAATAAATATCAAATTGATTCACATATTCTTTTACTTCTTGTTCGTACCTATTCCAAAATTCATCTAACAATTCTTCGATCTCATCTTTTGAACGATGTCCATTCTTTTCGGCTACCATTTAAGCGGTCAGTAAAATAAATTAAATGATCAGTAAAATAGATGAAATGGTCAGTAAGATAAATGGTCAGTAAAAAGTATATAAATGATCAGTAAAAAGATTGAATGGTCAGTACTTAGACTATCACTCATATAAAAAAAAGATTGGAAAAAATCTAATTTTAATCGATTTTTTAAATCAAACCAGTGATTAAAATAAATTAAATTTATAAATATTAATTTTAATGGCGGCGACGGTAAAATGCGTTTTCTCAAACTTTATGTTGAAAACTCAGATGTTCGATCGCTTTTTCGGACTCCTTGCCTCGGAAAATTAGTAGATATGATGCTAGATCGACCTTTGACATAAATTCCATGCTTCAAGACTCGATATCAATTGGTACTTATTCATTTAAAAAGAAAAACTATTAGAATTGATTAAAATCGATTTAAAAATTTTAATCGATTTTAATAGATTAAAAATCGAATAATCTGACTAAAATTGAGTAAAATAGTCAATGAAAAAATTTTAATCGATTAAAATGGATATTTATAAATTTAATTTATTTTAATCACTAGTTTGATTAAAAACCTGGCTAAAACTGTCCCATTTTAATCGATTTTTAATCACAAAAATCGATTAAAATCAGATTTTTTCCAATCTTTTTTTTTATATGAGTGATAATCTAAGTACTGACCATTTAATGTTTTTACTGATCATTTATACACTTTTTACTGACCATTTATCTTACTGATCATTTCATATATTTTACTTACCATTTCATTTATTTTACTGACCGCTTAATAATATCCCATTCTTTTCCAATGCTTCGCGCAATGATGATTCGGACCAACTACGCATAAACTGTGTTCGATCTTTTGCAAATTCATCCAATGTTAATTCACCTTGTTGAAATCGTAGAAATATATTTGTTTTAACTTCATACAATTTCGCATTGATTAATTTGAATGGAAATTTTTCGAATAGATCATTATCAATACATTCGGAATAGCTACGAAAATATAGTGGTATTGTATAATTGTATAACTCTTCTTCGGTAAGTGATAATAATTTTGCACATTTATATAAAATTTTATGGGCAATTTCAACTCCATGTAATCCTTGTTCATTTACACAAGATAGACACATGATGAATACACAACCTCGAATTAGTTCATTTGAACGATGTTTCAAAAAGTTCGAATAATCAATACGAGCATGTTCTTTAAATTGATTGTATTCATTATTTGAACTAAATAAAGAAATGCAATGATTCGATATATTACATGGTTTACAGGATAACCATTGAACCGATGTCGACGAGTAACCGACCGTCAGTGAATTCGATGGTAGACATTGTTCATAAGGGTGTGGGTGTGGGTGTGGGTGTGGGTGTGGGTGTGGGTGTGGGTGTGG